TTTGGATTTTAATATTGGAAAAATTAGAAGGTGCAGCTTCCACCTGATGCTATCCAGATATGAGCTTCCCAATGCACGGAGCACTTTGATTCAACCCAGCGGCAAGCCCCGTCTTTTTATAGGCATAACCTGTTGTCTTTTGAACACAGTTTATTAGGTCACATTAAAGTTACTTACTTATTATGTTTTGTGGGAACAGGAAACCGGATTTTGCTTTCTCGTGTTGTAAAACCAATCTTCTGCCGTTTTAAGCACCCGGCTAACAGCGCGCGCTTAAGGCTGGCCGACGTTTATGTTTATTTAACTTTACCTTTTTTAAATGTTCGGTGTGTCGAAGCTGTTTTGCTTGTTGGAGGAGAACGTCGCTGGTTTATTTGCAGCGCCACATTATTGTCGGTTCTGTTTCCGGGATACGCGAAGTGACAATGCTGTGTTTGTTGTTCGTTTACAAGAAAAACCACGCCTCCAGTAAGCGGATGCTAGCCACACAGCTTGCTCCCGGAGCGTAGCTTGAAGTGTAACTGGTAACCAGGAGTCAGCGGTCAATCGAGGTGGATTTCATCACCAGTTTCAACGTCTCTTACACTCACTGCCCAACACCACCACACACACAACCACAGCACATACTCACACACACACACACAGCACCACAACACATATGGATGACAAGGACAGAGCAGACACAACCACACCAGCACAACACCACAACACCAGCACACACAACAGCACAACCACGGATACAATACACACAGTACACCACACACACACACAAATACACCCACGATATCACGATGACAGCCACAGAGATACACACACACAACACCACACACAACAGCACACACATCATAGATACACGATACACACACACAGAATTACACACAGATACAGATACACCACAACACACACAATTCAGTTTATATAGATATCAGATACTCCACACAGATTGACACACACATAGTAAATTTATGTTCACATATTCTCCGAGATACAATACGATTATATCCAGCTACAGAGGCTATACAGAGTCAAACCCCGCACAACCCAACGAAACATGCACATGTGGACATCAAATTGTGTATATTAACAGTGCCATCCGACACCACACACAGAAAAGAGCGCGCGTCTCACACTACGCAATGAACGGACTAACACTTCATCTCAATCTTCCTCTCAACTATATCTTCTCGATAACACTCTGTGAGTTTAGCTATGTATAAAAAGACGATATTGGATTGAATCTCAGTGGCACCTACACCAAGCTTCACTGGAAACTATACTTTTCACACTATAACACTAGCGTCGTCTAAACCTACACAGAGCAACTAGCGCGATGCGGTTGTATCACAGTCTGATAGACCGTGCCGACGTACATACTTCAGATAAGAATGTGTGTATGTGTGACGCCTTAAATTATTCTGTTTATGTTGTAGGGATTTTTATAGATATATGACCTTTTACTCATACCATCCAACTGTCAGACTTGAATTAGTAATTTTAATTCTATTCAGATTAAATTAACTTATATTTTTAAATTGGCTAGAGCTGAACATTAGTATAACTGGGTATGGACATCGTGTCTGTTATGGGGAATTTGGGTAGTTTGATCTTTGTCTTTTCACTCTACAATGTCATATTTGTTAAATAAGACCATATACTATGTATATCTCCTATATGATAATGGGATCACGACAGTAATATGTAGATTGGTTTAATGTACCATATCCACAGTTATATGTTTATTGTAGTTGTTAGTGATTATTTTATTATTGAATAAAGAACTTATCCTTGATTATTGATAGTAATAATTGTAGTGGACGAATTTGTTATTTGGAGATAATATATTCTGTTCAGTGCTCACAGTATAAAAATAATATATAATTTGACATTTATAATTGATCAATTTCTTCTTAAATTGTATTTTTCTTTAAACATATTATCGTAGGGTGTAGCATGCTATTGGATGATATAGCCAAAATAAGGATTAATTATTATAAATTTAAAATGATATATGTTTTGGATTCTGTGGTAGGTGATAATGGAGATATAGCAACTTGTAAATTTTATTGTTATAATCAGGAATGAACAATGTTAACATGTTATACTCTTTAATAGATTTTTAGAGGGTAGGATTATTAGTTGCTATAATTTCATAGGGGGAAAAAAATGAATTTACTTTATGGATTTATAATAAATGTGGTATAGGTTTTAGGCGTAGGTATAATTTATATATTATTTTTTTTAATTATTATGAAATACCACCACACTGTCTGCTGTAAGAATATCGATTTAATATTATAAAAGCTGAATCTATAACTGTATGGACAGTTGATGGGAAGTTATTGACTTTCTCCACCTCTTTATTGAACATTACAAACTCAAAAAGGGAACAACAGAAGTACACACAGTCCTTTAGTGTTAGTGAATTATTGTATGACATTATTGTATATAATTGTGTGACATATTGGGAGGAAAGCACAGAAAAAAATAAATACATATTTAAATTTAAATAAACACTATTGTGGCCACACAAAAGCAAAAAGGAATATAATTTAAAATGATGTTTTGGGATTAGGATAAGGGATTACATGTAAATTATGTAATCAGGATTTTCAAAAAATTAACTGGTAATCCATTATAGTTACAAGGGGGGAAAAAAAGATTACAGTCACATTTAGTAAAAATGTGGATTATTTAGCAGGATAATAATTTATAATAAGTTTTTCTTTAAAAACATTCACAGGCCAGAGGTCACATGTTTGAGGCTAAATCTTGTTATTTTCTTTCTAAGGTTACGTTGTTCTGTTGTCTTATAGAATAAACTTTCATCAATACTTCTTACTGACATTTATTTTCTCTTGTTTTTATTTGTATATTTGGTGTGAAGGTAATCCAAAGGTAATGGAAAGTAATCAAGTTATGTTACTTTACTATTGTGATACTTGTATTAGGTTACTGCCTACATTTATTTAACAGGTAATTAGTTACTGTATCAGATTACATTTTTAAAGTTACCTCTCCCAACCTTGCACACGACTTATATATGTTAATTATAAGTCTTTTAATTCATTAATGAGTGGATTATTCTTAACCAATAGATTTTAAATTAATTTTTAAAGCAAATTATGGAGGGTTTACTATTCTTCCATTTATATTTGATCATTCTCCTACGGGGGATCAATAAAGGAACATCTTATGATATTTACTCATAATGATAATTATGTTTACCATGTTTAAAACCAAGCGTTAGTTGAGAGGGTAACTGTGTTTAAAAAACTGTTTAAAAAAGGTAGTTAGCAACCTAATCCAAGTATTACAATATTAAAGTAACATAACTTTCCGTTACTTTTGGATTACCGTAACACAAAATATATAAATAAAAACAACACCAAATATGTCAATAAATCAAGAAATACTGATACAAGCATATTTCTATAAGACAACAGAACAATGGACATGTGACCTCTGCCCAGTGAATTTATAAAGAAATATGTATTTTAAAATTGCAGTATTTGCTAAACAATCACTTTTTTTTTACTAAATGTCACTGTTACCTATATATATTGTATCCTGATTACATAATTCAGTTACAAGTAATCCATTACTCCCCACGTCTGTTTGGATCCATAAAAAGTCCAAAGCTGAAAATGAATTAAATAACTAAATAATAATTATTTAACCAGCTGTGTAGACCTCTGCCATAACCACACTGGAGGTTATTGACTGATCAGCGTTATGTGATCAACTTGTGTTGACAGATTCCATCATTGATCACCCCGCCCCTCCTGAGCTCCAATTAAAGGGCCAGTTCACCCAAAATATCAGTGCGCCGCTACTACCACATCTATTAAAGCCCCTCTTTCTTTCTTTCTTCCTCGGTAAATGTGCTGTAAACTAGGTGAGGCCCTCCTTCCATCCCTTCGCTTCCTCCACCACCTCCCCTCCTCGCAGCAGACAGAGCTTTAAGTTTAAAACCAGCGGGCAGAAGCTTAAAAAGCAGTCGTCACATTCAGCATCTGCTCGGTCATAACGCGCACAGCCGGTTTTTACCGCAGTGCATCTGCAGCATCCTCTGATCGGAGCGACAGGGGTGCTGCTGTGGCGCAGGGAGGAAAAAAAACAGAAAAGACACCATTAACTGGAACAGGACGCATTTCTTATATCTTATTTTATTTATTCTGTGCGGGATTTATTTTTTATTTTTAATGTGTCGCTCAGTTTGATCTGCAATGCCAGCGAGACTGAAGCATCTCTTCCACGAGCACAGGGCTATTAGATAGGTGAAATTACAAGCAACCTATTTCTACATTCAGCTGCCATCGCAGGAGAGGATTTTATATGTTTTTTTTCCTGTGTGTCCGGAGAGACGACTCGAGGAGAGGAGGCCTCTAATTCAGGACCGTAGGCTCTGATTTCAGTGATCCGAATCCGATTATGGATAACTATCTTTAGACCATTAGACTGGTCTGCATTAAATATTGGTAGCGTGTAGCCTGTTAAGAGGTAGCTATTTGATTTCTTATCATAGAGCATGCAAAATTAATGATATATGCACTGGCGTGTTAATCTAATGTAGACGTTCAGTCAGTAGCTGGCATGTTGCACATTATATAAACATTATAACCTGTGTGTACCCAGTGCTGTCTGTAATTTGCCAACAGATAAATATATAAACAAAAATAGAAGAAGCAGAGCATGTGGCCGCAGGCAGGTGTAATGATTGCTCTGTGCATCTCACATTAGGACCTCAGGGAAGAAGACAATCAAATCTCAGGGTGTTTATCTGGGGGATACTGTGAGTCACCAGATATCTGGATTGCTTCATATGCTGCTTGATAATTAAAAGCAGAAAAGTCCACAGCTTTGAATAGAGATAATTTAGAAGAGGGAGGGGGAGGGCTGTCTGAAAAAGCAGCAATAATTTGTGGCAATAAAATTCTGCAACCAACAGGAGACTGTTGCTGGCTTGAGCCAAAGACACCAACAGTTTGCTCCATAGGACTGTTAGGGCATCAGAAACAGATTTAGAGTGTGTGTAGGCTTTTGAGGCACTTTCCAGTGCATGTTTAGCTGCATGCTTCCTGACACACACGTATGATATTAGCCTGCCCTTTACTGACGCACAGATTTACACGTAAGCTCACGTAGGTCTTGCAAGCATCCATTCAGTTACTACAAACTCGGAGGTGCTCAGTTTATGAGTGTCATCCTTTCGAGCTCCATACTTGGAGCGTTGGTGTCAAAGTTTGTGCTTCTCGAGGCCTCTCGTCAAATAAAACAGCTACTCTAATATCCGGTGACATGTCGACATCATACCTACTGATCCTTTCTCTTCTCTGCAGCCTGTTTGGTGAGTTTGAGCTGATTGACTGTGGCCTTCATAATGTGTTGCTACATCATGTTAGCCCAGAGTAATGAGCTTATGTATCTTTTTGTTCTCAACAGGGTACCAGTGTCATGGGGCCTGTGCAGAGGTGGACTCTGACACAGAGGCAGTGGCCGGCAGGGGCTTCAAACTGGGCTGCATCTCCTGCAAGAGGAGGAGTGAGGTGGATGGTCGCGCCACCATTGAGTGGTACTTCAGGCCCAAAGGAGAGGCCGATTTTGTTCATGTGAGTACAAATCTGCCACTGGTGCTGCTGAAGAATATCTATGCCAGCACAAAATGTAACTGACACAGCAGACCGGAGTACAGGAAGGCTTCGTGCTTCCGGAGGAGTTTTAGTCGTGCAAGCATCCTTAAAATCAGACTTGTCCTAGGCTACATTCCTCAAGTCACAAGCTATTTATATATGCATATATATAGTGCACACCCAAGCTCTCTTTCTTCCTCTCTTTCGCTGTCTCACACACGCACACACACATACGTCCTCGATTACACAATGGCACCCAGTGCTGAGGTCATCACGAGGTTCATATGGAATCAATTGTGATATTTTACACCACAGAGATTATTAAAGCGCCAGAGATGATTGTTTGCCACTGGAGTGCAAAAGGTGTTAAAGGTCCAGTGTGTAACATTTAATACAGCATTCATAGGTGTGTTTACATTAGTGTATAATCATCTGAATATAGGAATTATTATGTTTTTGTTACCTTAGAATGAGCTGTTTTAATCTACGGATGCCGCCATGTTTCTACAGTGGCCCAGAACAGACAAACCAAACACCGGCTCTAGATGTAGTTTCTCCTGGGTGTTTGGAAGGGGAGGGTGAAGCGAGAGATCTGCAACTACACTGCTAGACGCCACTAAATCCTACGCGCTGGACCCTTTAAAAAAAGATCAAACTTAATTGATCTCCATAGGGGAAACTCTCATTTTGCCACAGTACAAGAAACAGTCCAAGGAGGCAGGAAACATAAATAATAATTTGGAATAATACATACAACAAAAGAAAGTACAGAAATTACATTCAAAATATAAAACAAACATGTACAGAAGTGATGAGTTTTCTGTGGGGCTGCACGGTAGCTAAAAACACCACATTGTGATTATTTTGACAGATTTTGGGATTTGATTCACGATTAGTGAGAGAATGATCATTTTTGATCACAAATTAAAATCTTACCTGAAAATACTTAAATCTTTTGGGGTCTCCTCCGAACAATCTTAAATCTGATAAACAAGATTTATAGTCCAGGGCATCTCTTCAGAGCTACAATACTTATATTTATACTATAATACTGTTTTCTTACACTTGGCCACATTGCGATCTCAATAATGTTTCGATGAACTGTGCAGCCATATTTTTCTGTCACAGCAGCACTTTGATTAACCTTGATTTCTCCGTGGCAACCAGATCTACACCTACAACGAGGATGGCCCCACCATTGAACACGACCAGTTTTTGGACCGATTGGACTGGAACGGCAGTAAGAGGAGCCACGACATCCAAGATGGGTCCATATACCTGCTCAACGTCACCTTCAACGACACAGGCACCTACAGCTGCTTCTTCAACCGCATCCTCTTCTACGCTAACTACGAGTACAACACTGTTGTCACCAAGGTGGTCCACCTCAGTGTGGTGGCTAAAGGTAGGATAAAATCAACTGCAGCGCTCTAACTGTGCATTGCTCTGTAACGATAAGCATTTAATGGATGGCCAAATGTAATGTAAGTTCTTTACACAAGCAAAAGCAAAAGCAGAACAAGAAACAGACAATAAAAACAACAACAGTAAGCAAGCACAAGCACATAAAATCAAATCAGACAGACTGAATTTGATTAAAAAGATGAAATAATTAAAAGCAATGGTAAACAGGTCAGCCTTGAGCTTGGATTTGGAAGTATTGTTTTAAGTTATTTGAGCAGCACAGAAACTAAACGCAGCTTAGTCTTGATTCTGGGAACAGTAATCCAGAACCAGCCGACCTGAGAGGTCTGAAAGGTTCCTACTGGGTCAGGAGATCTTGGACCTAAAGCATTTAAACATAAAACTGCCTCCAATTTCAATCTGTCTCAAATGCAATTACACTTTTTTAAGAATCCAATAGCTATTCGATCTGCCCTAGAAGCATGAATAGACTAAAATGTGTGGTGCAAGTGGTTTCCAGATCTTAATGAGTGAAAGCTCAAAAGCACTTAATATGGATTGTCTGTATGCATGAAGTCAGACTTGCAGCTTATAAGGACAGTCTGCATTAAAGTGTTTAAATAAATGTCTCTGCAGCAGGAGCAGGAAAAACCTCCCTGACCATAGACAGAGAGAGAGACAACTTGCTCATTCAGCTGCTTGTTTATATTATGTATTATATTCTTTATATAAGCGTACTGACCCCAAAACAGTCAGCATATGCTCTAAAATAGAGACAGTCTTCTTTAACTTTGCATTTGGAAAGACAAATGTAGGAACAATGTGATGGTTCCTCACAATTTTATGCAAATTGTGTGATTTTAAACCTTTAAGAGGAAATTAACCAAAATAATGTTTTAGAAGCAGCAGTACAGACTCCTTGTCAGAGGGTCTTATTGTTTATTTTGACTGCACACTAATAAGTCTTCAACAGTTCTTAATATAGTGAACCCTTCACACATTAGAGTAGTTTTCCAGTCTTTGGAAACACCTGGAAATTCATTAAAAGGACCAAATATTCTGGAAATAATCCACGTTGTCCTGCATCAATCATTTTGGTGCCAAGTCTATTTCTTCCAGGAGCCACTAACAGAATTTTTACGAAAGCCCGATGGTGAATTTTGTTGTTGTTGTGGTTAATACAGTAAGTAACACTTTGTAAATCCCATCTTAACAAGTTGGATTTTACCTGATAACGGCTGAATTCTAAATATTTCCTGCTTTGTAAGAGCGTTGTTGTGTTTGGTATCTGTCTGATTCTTGATTTCCTGACTTCCTGTGTGCAGCCACCAGAGGAACAGCTTCCATCGTGTCCGAGGTCATGATGTACGTGTCCATCATCGGCCTTCAGGTCTGGCTCCTCATAGAGATGATTTACTGCTACAGGAAAATATCAGCAGCCGGGGAAGAAGCATTAAGAGAAGCAGCGTAAGTCTGTTTGCACATTCATGTCGTGTCGCTCACGACATGTTAAAACCTTGTATCTCCAGCTTTGGTGATTTGTTTTTTACGTTTACTGAAAGATTAAAGTGCATTTGCTTGCTTTTTTTAATAGATGAGAAGATTCTTTCTTATAGAGAAAGAATAGCAATCAAACTAAAAATATTGCTGCATTTGTCAGTAGTTGAAAAACAGACACTATGAAGATACAAGGTGTTCCTCCAATAGCATTAAAATGTTATATAAGTAATGTTGTAGACCTCAAACAGAGTACTGCATTTTTAAGACAAATACCTACAGAGATATTTGAGAGTCTAAAAAAAATCCAGTAACGATATATCGACCATTAACGTGAACACAAAACATATGCAACTAAGTTTTAGAAGAATTTGGTTAATAAATAACTGGACAAACTATGTAATGGAAGCAGTGTTTCTACATTAACTCAAAGTGTTTTTGGCCAGAACAAGATAAAGATATATTGGTCTGGCTCTGGTGCATGTAAAGCATGGACATAAAAAGATGGACATTGCGTCTCGTTCTCCACTAAACACACATAAGCCAAAATATCCCGGATACGGACGATGACCTGTAATCCCCTGTTTATAGCTTTAAATACCTAATTAAAACCAAAGCTTATAACAAAAATTAACACTAAGAACAACCTAAAATTACATAAACCATCTTTGGGAAAAAATTATTTGACGTGTACTTTGATCTTTTTTAGTCGAGATATTTTGGCTTCACTTTGGGAGAGCTGTCATGTCGTCCATCTTTCTAAATGTCGATAATGTAAACACATCTGGGGTAGGGTTAGGGTCACACAAAGCATTTAATATGATATAGAATGATGATGAATATGAGATTTTGTGGCAAAATCACACTACAGTACTTATTATTATTATTATTATTATTATTATTATTATTAATAATAATTAAAATATTAATTATAATGCTGTTTGTCACACTTTAAACAAACAATTGCAGCTTCTGTGTTTTGGTTGTTGCACTTCTATTAATTGTGCAGCCCTACTCCCAAACTCGATGTGTTTAAAATAAGCTGTGTATTTCCTCATGAATACTGCCATGCTGTATTCATATACTACTGCTGAAATTACACACCTATAATTCAGACTTTTACTTTGTTACATCCTCTCTTTGGTTCATATTTCTCCCACTTTACCTGCCCTCTTACTTATTTTAAGATTATCAATGTTTCCATTGTGTTTGTGTGTTTTCACTTGTGTCTCTTTGTCTAACGTCTCACGCTCCCTGTGACTACTTGTCATGTTTTCGTCTTGTCCGTCCCATCCTGTCATCCTCCTCCTTAGTAAAAATCAAAACCTCCCTCCTCCTCCTCCTCCTCCTCCTGTAAGTCAAAAAAAGAACAAAAAAGACTGTCATACAACTAGCTATGATGTTTTGTTTTTGCATTTTTCCACCCATTTCATTGTGCTAATGTGCTAACGTTTAACACTCTGATCACCACTGACGGTTGTTTGTTTTCTTTCTAGAAATGCTGAATATTTAGCGATAGCTTCGGAAAGTAAAGATAACTGTGCGGGAGTGCAGGTCGGAGAATAGCACAGGTACGTTGTGATCTTTAAATGCATGTCAGCAGGATCTTTCCACAATGAGATATCTACCATTTAATGAAGCCTTTTACAACCTTTATGCTTCTAAAATCAAATGTATTGGTGGATTTAGGGTACATAGAGTCCCTTATTGACCAATTCTAGCCTAGTTCTGGGTATCGAACCTCCCAACTGAGCTCTCTAAAAACAACATAGTCCTGAAATCCACAAGCACATTTACACAAAATATAAAATGCCTCCATCAGAAAACAAGATCAGCTAAAATAACGATGCTTCAGATTTTATTAGTCAATTTGTTACCCATAAAAGAGATAGTTTTAATAAGTAAGGTGTAGGTGGATCTTACTATGGACAGAGCCTAATGATGTCAACCCTAGGTTTCTGAGATTGGCTCTGATCGTCGCTATTTTGGACGTCCTGACTCCAAAAATTTGCCCAAAACTGCATCTTATGTGACCATTTGTAAGCAAGTGCTGTCCTGTATTGTCAAGAAAAACTGTATGTTAAGAAAATTGTTTGTTAAATATACGAGAGGTATGGTGTCGTTTGTTAAATGAAAAAAGTTTTTTGTTATATATTTCTGGAAAAAAAAGTACCTAAACTCTTGTATCTACTTTAAGTTGCCAGTTTTTTAGCTAAAGCTGATGTCTAATACAACTGTCCTGCAATACTTTTGACCTTCATGATGGTTTTAATGTTCAGATTTTATCATTTATATCAATGATGGTAGACTAAATATTAGAAAAACCTGTCAGCTTAACACCAAACAATTGGATAGCACCACAAACTACATCCTCCAAAATTATCATAAAGTTGAATCAACACCATTTATGAGTTTTTATATTAGACTGTATTAGCTTTAGTTAAACGGACCTAAAAACTAACAACTTAATGTATATTTTAGAGGTTCTAATGTTTATTAATGAACTAGATTTTCTATAAAAACTGTGCCATTAAATGCATTAATACGCGTTGTCTTTTGTCTTCAGGCTTCTTCCGTGGACTAAAAACATCCTTCCACCCTCTGACCTGCATGTAGACAACTTAGGAGAAAAGCTCCTCTTCATCTCAAGTCTCTATTTTACCTTTTCCTTGACAAAGACCACAAATGGATATGACTTACAAAGACAGCATGGTACCAGCACTGTATATAGTATTCTGCGCGCATGTCCTGCACTTACATGAGAAAAACATTATGCATTAATGAGCCACATTGTCAAAAGCATATACTGTACATACAGTATTTCTCTAAGTATATGTAGTCACACATTTCTATAAAATGTTAAGTGGTACTATGATGGCCTGTTAAGACTCCAAGAGGCTGATTGCGAAAGAAAGCTTTTTACTACATCATCGCCACCTAATGTATAAATAATGAGACACACAACACGTATGGTAAAGTTGTTTATAAAATAGAATGTCATGGACTATGATAGACTGTCTTTCCAGTTGCTAGTTGTACAGTACATTCAATGAAATCTAAAGATGTACTAATAAAAAACTGAAAAAAAGTACACGTGATGGAGAAGTCTTCTGTTGATGGTAATAACGAACGCATGTCACCATGGAAACTGCTGATGTGTCTTATAAATATTTTAGAGCTTTTAAATGGATGGCTGTCGCTGCAAGAAAACATAATGCAGACAACTTCCGGTATTTATTTATTTTTTATTTTCATGTAGCTGAAGCAAACACAATGTTAGAGCTTAAATACAGTTATTTTATTCACCTTAGTGGATTTACAGCATCCACCATCCTCCACAACAATGGGAACCAATCAAATTCCCTTATTTATTTATTATAATTATTTATTATTTGATTTATTTCCACCCCAGAAGGTTAGATGTAAAGACTGATACCACTCTGATGGCTGTGTGTTGAGTACAGAGGTGGAGTCAGGAAATGGTTAGCATAGCTTAGCATGAAGAATGGAAGCAGGCTCTGTTTAAAGTTAAAAAATATGGCAACTAGCTCCTCTAACGATTACAAATGACCACGATGTATCTGCCAGATAGATTTAAGTGCAGGTCTCTGTACAAACATGGTGGTATTGTATCTGGCAACGGAAGCTCTCAGTTCATTTTTTATTTATTTCCAGGGGGCGTTATCGACGGGCGTAGCCCCAACTGCCTCTGGATGCAGGACAGACGTACAACCAATCAGAGCAACAAAACACGACGTAGCACTGAGCTAAACATCGCTGCTCTGTACAGTCATCGTATCAAACCTGCCCCATAGTAGATGAAAAGGTTGTGATTGTGACCCCGGCTAGATCCGCCTCCACACTCAAGCTCAATTATCACAGACATAAAAATGGTATTTGTGGTAAATTTTCTCCCCAGAATGTTGAACTATACCTTTAAAGACGACACTGAAAAATCTCATCGAACCTACGTCCCCCTACAGTTGTAGCACACAGTCCGTGTCGGGGTACTGAGGAAGGTTGAGTTGGTACTTCCTCTCTAGGCCCGGTGGCACAAAGCGGCCTCCCAGGAAGTGGTAACGTCCTCTGAAGAGGGAGGCCGACTTCTTGGGAGCGGTGAGAGAGATGAGCATGTCGGGCTGCAGTCCGTCTGCACTGCCCTGCTCCACATCCCAACCTTTAAAAAAAACAAACGGGATGTCACGGTTCAGTCCAGGCTTCCTCTTCTTATTATTATCATTGAGGGTGAATATCCACAGAGGACACATTGACTATCAGGACAATTATACTCATATAATAACTTCAAAATTCCTGTATATTTTATGTCTTAAACACCATGTTTGCCACTGCCTAATTCACATTTAATTCACTGGAAACAGTCTGTTGTACTCAACTGAGCAGAGCACTTTTAGACAATAATATGAGTTCATGTTTCCCACAACTACCAAGGTTTACTAGAGGAACTGGATGTAGTAATAAATAATAGTGCAAATCTATCTAGAGCAATCTATTCAGTAGCAGTATTAAAATTCACCAAAAAGGTAGGAAGGACTGACCTGAGGGGATGTCGATGCTGGCTAAGGGGACTGTCGTCTTCTTCAGCACGTTTAGGATGGAACCAAAAGGCTCTCGTACGGCCCCCTTGAAGCTGAAGCCGAAGATGGCGTCTATCACCAGGTTGTAAGCCTCGTCAATCACTTTAGCCTGAGAAAATTTTTTTTTTCCAACATATATTTTCTTTTACATTGATTCAAAAGACCAACAAACTACTTAATCTACTAATCAAAGAGCACTTTTGTAAAAACACTCAAAACGTGTTATAAATTGTAACTTTAGTGAAGCCAGTAATCCAGACTCTGCATCATTTCAGTCAATTATATAATTGACTGGGCTGTTTGTTGCAATAGAAACCCCAATTCCCCCACAGGGATGATTCTGACTTGTAATCTAAACTGCAGCCTCATTTAGCAAGAGCTAATATTGTGTAATGTAGCACTCACATAGCTAGAAATTAAATGCACGCTCATAAACACAATACCACTGAAGATAATGCTGCTACATAATTGACAGACACCAAACCTCAGGCATCTCAGTCAGGAAGGGGATCTCCATTTTCTGGCACTGTGTGGTCAGGCCCTGGAACAGAGGTTTGTTTGGCCTCTTCGGGTAAAGGATGGTCGGCTCATAACCCTGAACGAGGACAAACAAAGTGGTAGAAATCATTCCTCGCAGCAAATGTCCAGTAAAGAATGCCTTCAGATTGGTTCAATGCTGCCACTGGAGGTTTTTATGTAGCACACACAGACTGTCTGTGAACGCGTCGAAGTCTAAATACGCTAGCATTAATCTAGTGTGCTGTACAGTACGGGCAGTACAAAAGTATTTTTAAAAAATGAACAAAAGTAACAAAAGTAAAAGACTTCTTGTTCCAAAAGGACCCTTTTCTAGTGTTATATACTGTATATTATAGGATTATTATCCATTTAATAATCTACAATCTGTTGATTTAAGTTAATAATTGAGTCCTTCAAATAATATTTATTCATTTCAATTAATTTTAATTAAAAGAATGAATTTTAAATATTTGAAATAAGGCACAATTTCTGCACTCAAATTATGAAAAAGTTGACTTATAAACGTCTTAAAACAACTTGATTTGCATTTAAAAACAGTTTTCTCACTTTCCATTAAAAAATGTGCCTTTAAGGACTCAATTACTTACTTAAGAATACGGTTTAGAAGCTGTCGCATGAAATATAGTGGAGTAAAAAGTACAATATCTTTATAGTGGAGTAGAAGTATAAAACACCATAAAATAGAGATACTCAAGTGCGGTACTTGAGGAAATCAGTTACTTTCCACCACGGCTGCAGAGTTTCTTACTGTCACACAAGGACACTCACAAAGAGTTTAAGATGTCGGGCACAGACCAGGCCGTCGCCTCCGTTGTTACCTGGTCCACAAATCACCAGCAGAGAAGGTCTGGCCTTGACGAGGGAAGTAACCGGATACGCCTGCAGGCAGAAGAAAATCTATACACGCTGCACCACAACTGTTTGACATGGAAAAGAGGATTTTCTTTTACAGCAGCTACTCTACAGAAATGCTTCCAGTGATGCAGACTGAGAAGACGGAGTAATCTGATTATTTCCATCTTCAGGCAGTAATCGGATTTCTGTTAATGCAAAACCTGGTTTCCTGGTAACACACATAGACCTTTTATGATGTTCAAAATTATGGAAAATAAGATCAATAATATCAAAATAATATCAAAATAAGATCATTCTGCAGTGTTTTATATTATATTATAATACCGAAGTGGTTACTATTGTTGTTTTGTATCTTTAGTCACTTACTTTGACTTAATGGTTTAATAATTCTACTTAAATTTACAAATATATGATATATGATAGGTGCTATACAAATAAAGTTGACTGATAAGTGAAAAGAAATTCAAAAATAAGGGGAATAAAAACTTTGTTTGTTTAAAGCGGTTCATCTTTGATAACAATGGTTAGCCGATAACTGACGAGTGTATAATAATAGTAATCAGACAAATACAACACATTCCTGCCCTAAACTGGTTGTTCACCAGTAGAGTTTAATGGGCTGCAACTAACACATATTCTCATTATCAATTAATCTTGTTTTCTTCATTAATTCATCAATCGTTTTTGTCCATAAAATGTAAGAAAGAAGGAAAAATGTTAAGAAAATTAGAATTTCCCATCGCTCAAGGCGACGACTTCAAACTTCTTGTTTTGTCTGATCAAAGATATTCAGTTTATAATTATTTATGAGAAAGAAAAGCATCAAATCTTCACATTTAAGAAACGTTTTTGCTTAAAAAAAAATGAATATTTCAAAATAATAATCTACATTAAACATTTTTATGTCAAAATAAGAGCCCGGATTGACATCTCACCCTGGCAATGGCTGTGGCACAGCTGAGTCCAGCCAGCTCCATCAGCTGGTCCACACTGAAGCCGTACTCACTGAAGAGCTCCTCATCAATGTGCTGGGCCTCCTCCTGCCTGTGGAGCATCGAGAGCACAGTCTGGACAACTACACACATTCAGTCTGTAAGTTTTACTGCTCTGTGGACACTTTTTTAAAACCTCACCCGAGATATTTGATGGTCTGGGCCATGGTGGACGCTGCTCTGCTGCTGAAACAGTCCTTCTTGTGGTTGTTAGCCGCAGCGGACAGCGAACATGTCCCTGTCTGAGCGAGGACTGTCGCGGCCCTTGAGGTCACCAGGAATCCGATCCCAAACAGAGCCCGAACGCTCAACATCCAGCTGGATCCAAACTCCTGGAACAGAAGAGGCCACAGTGATCTACCCTGAACTGAAGGAAGTCAGCACCCACATCGATCCCATGACTTCATGAACCGACAGAAGTGTAACTGTAGAGCCAAAAGAAGAAACTTTTACATGAGGAAAGCCTGCGAGCTATAGTTCAGACATCAGACGCCACTGCTGCTCGGGCTGCTGACGCCACTGACTCCTGCAGCTGCTACGTTGCTTTCACCGCTCGCTTGCTTGCAATTTTTCTTTGCTCCCCTCCATCCACCTGCAGGCTGCGTACTCACAGTCCCAGAAGGGGGTTTGCATCAATCATCCCTGCGCTCTCAACTCCTGCTCAATGTGCTTTACAGGAAGAGATGACACAACGATTCTTAAAGTAAACTGAGTGTTTTCTTTTTTCTGTGAACTTTGCATTTTAAGTCTAAACTTGTATTTATGGCTGAGTCATCAAACACAACCACACTGCACTGAAGTAGAGCTGCCCGCAACTAATTATTACACTCTAAATTTAAATCTAACAAGGAAAAACAGCAGACATTTGCTGCTCAGATGTGAGGACATACTTATTATCTTTGTTTTATATCGATGTAAACTGAATAAAAACGCTATTTGAAGACGTTCATTTGAACAACTGTGATAGTTTTAACTCTTTTCTGACATTTTACACACTAAATCAATTTGTAAAATCAATCGTATATCTATTGATCATGAAAATTATAGTTAATTGACGGCCCAAAATCCCAAACTATGACATTTGCAGTGATGCAAAACAAAGAAAAGCAACAAATTGTCACATATGAGAAGTAAATATTTAGCATTTTTACACAATAAAAGACAAATTATTCAAATGTCAATCACCTAATATGTTTTATTTACCAGTGGTTTTAGTAAGAACATTAAGAAAAAACAATGAACAACTCTGTTAAACATAAAAATAAATATTAATTAAAATCTGCCACAAAAGGAAATGATACAATCTGATACGTGCAACTCTATTTAACGAACTAAACTTGATTAATGAAGTGATTGTGCCAATAATCAGTTGATATAAGCAGACGTAATGCTGATATTATTTTATATTTTGTTTATTTTCTCTGTTTCATTTGCTGCTGTATTAAATGTAACTGTAGCAGCTAAGCTCAGCCAGCTAGATAACCAACCCTTTAAGGACATTACAGCAGGACTCATGTATGCTGATTACAGAGGGTTGTTTTTAGAGTTTATAAACACAAACAAACACAAACATAAAGTCGAACTTCAGCTTCAGTTTAAAGGCTGTTAGTTGAGACTTAGCTGGCTAACGTTTAGCACTGGAGCTATGAGCTTTTACGTTTAGGTATGAGCGACACTCACCACATGTTAACGAGCTTTTGTCGCTAAAAACAACTTCACATGCACGTTTGTCCTGTTAAACACAACTTACAGGTCGATAATAAACCGATTAAAGGTGCAACAACAGCACAACGCTGACAACCACTTCCTGGTTTGGAAAAAATAACAACACTGCTCGAATTTCAAAATAAAAGCCCCTGTAATAGTATGTCTCTATATTCATTTTCTCCTTTCTGGATCATGTTTTCTGCAGTCTGTTAATATATGTTTGACAGTTTGGTGCATTAGGGGTCTTGCCTATGATTTGGAGTGTGTGATTTAATGCTGTGTGTCCTGTTCTCAATCTCTTCCTTTGGGCTCCTGCTCTGTGCCTACATGCTACATGTTGTTGTATATTATAAAGATCTATAGATTATAAAGATATAAAGGTCTTCCAGTGTCACATAAGTCCCAGTATCCCTGCCAAGTTTTTCATATATGATCCTTTATGGTCGTTTTAACTTCATTTGCTCTCGTTTTGCCAATATATCCATATTCTTTTCATTTCCTTCCACTCCTACATGAGCAGGAACCCAAAGGAAGGAGACAAATAAAAGCCCTATCTGTAAAGCATACTGATATGGAAGAGAGTACTGTGACAGGAGGAGTCATTGGGTTGAGTACTGTTCTTTTTCAGTAGCGAAAGAAGTATTTTAACCACTTACTGAAGTAAAAATATAAATATTACACCATAATAATCCTCCTGCGTACTTGCAGAATGCACTTAAAATTTACACAAAGGTACTTATTACACAGAATGGCCTCTTTTGGATTGTTTTATTGTTATATATCATATTTATTATTAATATAATTATTGCTGGATTAGTAAGCAGCATTTTAATGAGCTAAAATCTTAATCGTAACTATAGTTGGCAGATAAATGTAGTGGAGAAAAAACTACATTTTCCTCTGAAATGTAATGACATAATAGTATAAAGCTCCATAGAAATATAAGTAATGAAAAGTAACTTGAAATGGTGTTCAGCATTCAACACTTTACACCTGAAATATTCTACTCTGATTTCTGATCTCGTGTTTTGAATTAAGGTGGTGTATGGATGAAATAATCTGAGGTGAACATTTTGTGTTGTGTTTATGTTTTTAAAATGTTGGTGGTTTTAAATATACAGTTCATTTTTTAATTAACTTGTTCTTCTCTTTCAGATTTTCAACACAAATTATCATCCATGTAAACTTGTCAGACTGCTACATTCAAAGAGATTTAACCCCACGATTAGTACTTAGACGGTCCCACTATTGTTGAACAAGACAAAATATGGCAGAATTAGGAAAACATGTTTATTGATATCATTAAAAAATACATAATATTCTGTGGATCTGTAGCAAAGTTGATCTCAATTTACTTTCCAGAATAAAATTCAAAGTGTTTTTCGAAATACATGAACAAAAATAATTTTAATGCAACCCTGCTGCATCATTACAGAGTGTAATGCAAATCTGATTGAACTGTGTTATGAAAAGCACAAGAAAGTATGATTTTAATCTAATTTATTGCATCGTCAACTTTTAGTTGTTTTAAACTGTTAAAGTAGCTGCTAGGCTCATATGTTACTGCTTGGCAGGAAGCCTGGGAGAAATCTAAAACTCTTAATGTCACAGATACAAACAAAACTGCCTGCTTTAATCATGATTTCAATCTAAGAAAATATTTCATAAGCATGCCTATGTACATTATTAAAAAAAAAAAAGCAGTATAAAATTTCATTGCATACAATATCTTGAAAAAATATTCCAGAGTACATGAAGTGAACTAACTACAGCTGGTAACTAAAGAACTGATAACTAAAAACTAATTGAATAGTTGAAAGTGTTTCAGCGTGGATCCAGGGGCTCACATAATTGGACAGCTCTCCATTCTGCCTCCAGTCTAAGAGGAAAGATCGACAAAGTTACAATGATCATAAGACAGAAAAAAACGTCAATTAAACACCTTGATCTTTAAATAAAAAAAATTAAAAAGCTCCAAGAGAAGCTGAATTGTTTGTTTGCTTTCTAAAAAGACCTTTTAAAAGTGAAAAAAGTCATCATATATCAGCTGTAGGTGTTGCAGTGCCCACCTTGCGAGGAGTGCTGGTGCTGAACACGTAGGAGTGGGGCAGCAAACCCTCGGAGATGCCTCCGCTGCGGAAGGAGCGGGAACCTGAGGTCACGGAGCAGCTGCTGGATTTGTCTGATGGAAGTCCGCAGGAGCCGCAGACGACCGTCCGGCTCCGCAGGTTGTACTCACTGTCTCCACAGGTGCTGTGAGCCACCTGCTGAGGCAAACAGATGTAGTATTCATTTCATATTAGTGGTCATAGCTTCTTTTCTTGGATTTCTATGACAACAAATTGAATCTTATTAGTCTGTTTGGGCTGTGGGAAACTGTGAGGGCCTTTTTCTTACATTTTATAGACATTAGTTAATCCATAAAATAGTGAGTAGTAAATGAATCGATAATGATGTGTTTACATCTTGTGTTATTTTGCTGAAACATTATTAATTTCCCCCAAAATCTGGTTGTTGTTACACTCTTTAGACCATCATAGAGCAAAGAATTCAACATTTCAATACAGAGTTACAGGTTGTTTATATGTTTCTGCATTCTGATAACAAACCACTCTCTATCTGATATATTGTACCACTCCAACAATCATATTGATTGTCTGAGTGGTAAAATAGCTAATGCTTTTCAGCATCCCAGAAGGCGTTCCTAATGTGTTATAGGTGTAATTTGATGTACTTCAGCTCCATTTATCATTAAAATTAGGCAACTGAATGCTGCTAACTTCCTTTTAGTGTTGCAGATTCCTATGCTATGCTTGTACATACAGATACTGATGGATGAAATTAAAAGGGAAAAATTAGTGGAAAAACAAATGCAGATGCTTCCACAAAGTGAACTGCATGGTACAATTAAGCAATTAACATCCAATCATGCTCTGTGGCATGTATGAATTCTGAGTTGATCCTGATTTTGTCAAAGGGATATTACAGTACGGTTACACTACATAAACCCAACATCATAAAGCAACCTTTAACATCAAAGGAGCCATGTTTGCCCCAAAAAGCAAAAACAAAATAGGTTGTCTGTATGTTATTAATACAGTTTCTCTCACCATGTCATCATCGTCTTCTTCAAGGTGTGTGCGGATGACCTTCCTCATTGCCATTTCCTGGAGGAAAAAGTTTTATTTATTAATTTATGTCCATTTCTGACACTTAAATAAAGTGTCCAAATACCACATGTTTGACTGGTAAATGTAAAATACCTCTCCATTGGCACTGATCAGGGTGGTCTGCAACATGTCTCCGGTGCCCCAAGAGGGCTGAGTCTTCCACACCAGGTCAGAGGGAGGACTGTGGGTTCCACCAGCACCAGAGGCCCAGATCTAGAGGTACAGTATTGTATCAGTAACTGTGTTCCTCACTGTGCTGATGTGTGTTTCTGCTGATTAAAGGTGCTGCTTACCGTGACCCTCTGTCCCGCCTTCAAGGTGAATTTCACCGGGAACTTAAAGATAATGGGAGCACCAGATCCCACCTGTCGCTTCACCTGCCAGTTCCCCAAATTCTGATCCTGAGGATTGGGGAAAAAAAGCAAGTGGTTATTTTTTATAGTCTGAAATGATCTGAGTTATGTTCTCCCTCAACAGGTGATGAATTAAAGGACCAATGTGTAAGATTTAGTGGCATCTAGTGGTGAAGCTGCATATTGCAACCATTTGAATACATCTCAGCCTTATTATACACTCATGAAAACATACCTATGACTATTATAATACATTTTCTGCCAATAGATCCTCCTAAATGTTATACACTTGATGGGAATTTGTGTCTTTGGCTTCTAATGAAGGTGAGAAGTCTATTGTCAGAAAACTGTAGATAATATTTTTATATTGACCAAACACACAGTGTGCAACTGTAGCAGAGAGCAGTTTGTTTCCATCACAGGATTCCTCAGATAATATTTAATCGCCCCACCATTTTCTTCTCACCTCATCTGATTTGTTGCTGAGTTTGACATATTTCCCCTCCAGGTCCACCTCGTCCACGGTGACCCGTCCGCTGGCTGAGGCCTGCTGGGTGATGCGAGTGCGGGCCACAGCTCCACCTGCAAAGCTCGAAGCCTCGCTGTCGGTGTCGTTGGGGCGGCGCCTCTTGGCCGGAGAGTTCTGAGTGCCGTAGTGGACTGATCGAGAGTGAGCTCCGGAAGTAGAGGAACGACTTCCTGTCATTTTGGTGGGCGGGGGGCTGGGGGAGAGACGCAGCCTGCAGGGACAAACATGGGAAAACGTGTGTGAGGCTCATGGGTCACTGCAAAACACTTTATTCAATAACCTCATTGTGAGACAACACACCTCTGCTCCTCTCCCTCCAGCAGCTTCCTGTAAGCACATATCTCCATATCCAGAGCCAGCTTGACATCCAGGAGCTCCTGGTACTCATCCAGCTGCTGCTGCATTTGCTGCCTCATCTCGGCCATTTCTCTGTCTTTGTCTCCCAGCAGACGACGTGTGGTGTCCCGCTCCCGAGACAGAGCTTCCTCCAGGTCCCTCACCTTCGCCTCGCGGGCCGCCAGCTAGATCAGACAGAAGAGTCACACAGTTACTTTTAGGAAAACGTCACTTAATACCCCTTTAGCTATGAATCTTAAAGGGCACATGTTCATGATGATGCAGTGCATTATTGATACAAGCATCTTGGATTAGATCCCTGAATGTGATCTGTGTGAGCTGCTCCTTTCAGATCACCTGTTTCTGCAGCTGGCTGAGCTGAGAGGACATGGACTCCAAGCGGATTCGTGTCTGCTGGAGCTCCTCGTGTGCTGCTCCAACCAGGTTACTGCTCCTGTCCGCTGACTGGCGAGCATTTTCCAGCTGACAGAGCAAGATAGAAAATTAATAACCAATCTTATGATGTTTTTTCTGTGCTGTTTGTCAGGTTTCTGATATTTTATCTTCCACAGAAGACCACAAGAGAAAACATGTTTTGTAAAGCAAACCTTGTTATTGTAGGTCTTCTCAATCTCATCCTTGTACATTTTGATCTGCAGTTCGTGCTGGTTACGCATCTCCATCAGCGCCTCCGACAACTTGCTTTCAAAGTCCTGCTGGATGCCATTGTCCAACTCAACCATACGAGACTCGTGGCGCCGCTTTGTCTCCCGCAGTTCCTGTTTGAGAACGACCAAAATCATCAACTGGGAGTGTTTTTTAAATAACAGGCAGAGGCTGTAAAGGGAAAAAGTGAAGTGAAGAAAAGGAAAGGTGATTCATTGATGATGATAAAAACTTTTCTCTGGGAGTCTGACCTCCGAGTGGAGATTCCTCTGAAACTCCAGCTCCTCTTTGAGGGTCTGGATGCGATTCTCTCCATCCACCCTCCTCAGCATCTCATCCTGCAGCTGCTTCCTGGCATCGTTCAAACTGGTGTCCAGCTATCAAAGCACAACAGGAAATGAATATTAATACAAAGCAATACACAGACATTCGCATAAACACGCCACAGAGGGCAGAAATGTGCAGTAAATATAATAAGAGGGCAGGAGAGTAGGGAGGCTGCTCTTTAATCAAAATTTCTGAGCTCAAGCAGCCATGACAGAAAGAGAAAGGTCTGAAAGAAGCAAAGAACTGTCATTTTCTCACACAGACACATATTTCATATTTTATTTTCACTCAAGGCCCAAGGCCCTTTCAAAACTCCACTGAAAAAAACTCAACAGCTAGTGTTCAAGGCAAACACAGGGTTATAACTCGGTCTTTGATAGGCTGACATTTATTATCACAAAGTGGAAAGCACAGAGGATTGTGAGGGACAAACTGGGAGCTGGTGAGCTGGTGAGGCGAACTGCAGAAAGATGGAGCCCAGATGTGTTTCCACTGAGTTTTAAATTGAGCGTGGGTTTGAGTTTACCTTGGCCACCTGCGTCTTCAGGTCCCTGTTTTCCACCTCGAGGTTTCGCTTCTCTCCCAGAGCTGTAGTCAGGGATGCATCCTTCGAGTTCAGCAGAGCCTCCAGGTCTTTGAGCCTCTGCAACGCTCCAGCCAAGTCTGACTCCTTTTTGGCATTCCTACAAAGACACAAAAGAGTCTCAGATGTTAAGCTGCATTTTTCCTGGATGTGTTTGTAGTAACTGATAGAGGATGTTCCAGTAAATAGAATAGGCATAGGTCCATTTTGCTTTATAACTTAACCAAGTGGAAACTGAATTACTATAGTTTTCTTTACACAGTCTAGTGAAACAAATATGAGCTATTTTTAAATAAGGATGGAGCCTGGATGGAATAGGAACAGGGGAAAGACCTCGGTGCATATGACTCATAGGCCACAGCAATCTGCGTTCAATCCCATGTATCATGGTAGCCACAAACCACAGCCGTTGGTGTTTAGCTGAGACGCTGCCATGGCAACGGCTTGGCCTTGCCAAACACACAACTGCCCTCGTCTCAATATTTATGGAAAAATAATGGAGGAAAGAGTGGAGCCCTCTAAACACTGCCACGTATTGTGTGCATAATGATTACTTTGGTGAAGGAGGAGAAACTGGGGAAAGAGTTAGTCATCAGGTCCTGGATGTGGCAGCATGGGAAGGAGTCGGCGTCGAGGTCCAACGTCAAAACTGCAGTGAGCAATGAGGAGGGTATGCTAAAGCTAGGGAGTGGCCCCCGGGAGCAGGCCAACGCTGCTCTCAGAGTGCGAGCAAGAGTTATACAAGCTACAGCTATTAAGAGCTAATGAGTAAGTGTGTTCTGCTGCTGCGGAAGCACGTGCAGAAGTGTTTTAGATACTAACACTACAATCACAAAACCCTCTCACTCACACACCAATGGACAAGTGGACGCCTTTGACTGAGAATGACTTGTTTGGAAATGGGGATTTCGGACGCCTCGGGGCAGCTGTTTCAGCTCATGATTATCAGATTAACAAAATATCTGGATCAGAAGTGTCTTTTCATTTTAATTAAAGGGTACACCAGGCTGATTATGACCAAAAATCTTTTTAATCTTGGAAATAAAAGCAAGTAGTTACACAATTTTTGCTGTATTATGTGTTCTCCTATAACAACCTGAGAAAAAATAATCTTAATGCTTGATGTCTACAGTTATATTGTAAGTACTTTCAAAAGAGTTTGGTAATTGTAACTTTAAAGCTAGCTATGATACTTTAGCTGAGCCACTTGGATAATTAAGGGATAATAGTAAATGCTAAAATTACAAGTAGGAAAGATTCATAAAGACGGCAGACTGACTCAGTAATGTCAGTTACACAGCAAGTTTGCTAACATTAGCCACCATTAGCTACCGATCATATCAGACCATGTGAGGCTATAGCAGCAAACCACGTTAATTTTATTGCTTATGAGCTCAATATATTATTATCACATTATTATTCAGTATTATGAATGATATTTCATACCTAGCTGAGCTTTAACTGTGAAGAAACTACATCTCACAATCATACATGGGTGCTTTTAAGGAATTCAGGGCCTCAAATGTGCTGTGACCCCCTTAAAAAACACCCCCCACCCCTCTCTGGTCAATGTAGTTTATCACTGTTTTTTTCTCCACACACACACACACACACATAGAAAACACTAAATCCTGTCAGATTTAGATTGAATGTGCTGCAGCCCACCTTGCTTTCAGCTCTTTGTGGTCCTCCCGCAGCTTGCCCAGCTCCAGCTGCAGACGTGCTCTCTCTTTGGCCACAGAGTCCAGAGTCTGACGGGCATCGGCCAGCTCGGTCTCATAGGCAGCCTTCAGGCCTGTCAGCTCCCGGCTGACCTCTGTCTCTGACTCTGTGATGCGCAGACGCAGGCCGGCGTTCTCAGCCTCCAGAAAGCGCACCTTGTCGATGTAGACGGCCAGCCGGTCGTTGAGGTTGGACAGGTCCTCTTTCTCCTGGAGCCGGGTGATACGGTTGGGGGACATGGACATGTTTGCACCTCGGGGAGTGTTTTTGGGTGTCGCCATTGTCTGCTATCTTTTCAAAAAACAGACATGATTATTATATCTATCTTTTGTGTAGCTGTGCAATAAAAACAGGACTTTACACGGGAGGACGGAGAAAGTTGACTGCAGTTCAGTCTATAAATCTACATTAAACATGAACTATTGTAACTAGTTGTTAATCAACATAAATTCATTAAACTATGATTAAAAACATACCTAACTTATTCATAAAAGCAAGATTTTGACTTTTAAGGAAAAGTGTGGATCTGGAAATTTCCATATGAGTATAACAAAGTCATAACTGCAAGTTTATTTTCAAATTGAAACCATAATCCACTGTAAAATATCCAACGTTTCCAGAAAATGGCCGAATCTTTTGAGTGCAATGGCATAAAACAGACATACAAAAGAGTATAATTAATCAAAAGACATGGGAGGGGTTATCGACTCCACCCAAAAATCAAAGAAAAGTCTCTGCACAAAAAAATCCCAACATTGTCGGGAAGATTTACCTTTTTTAGAGCTCGTTGGATAAGGAGAAAAACGCTGCTCCGAGGATATTCGTGGACTTTGTTCTTTGGACTTTGACTCTGTTAATTGCCTTTGTTATCTTGTAATGAGGGTGGCCTCTCTTGGTTCTCCAGCACTGTTCAGTCTGTTACTGCACTGTCTGCAAACCCATCTGAGTGCCCATATAGGAAAGAATGAGATGGGAGGAGAGGAGAGAGGTTGGCCTCCAGTTTGGCACTTGGTAGGTGGTTGTTCCTCTCTCTCTCTCTCTCTGTCTGTCTCTCTCCCACTGTAATGGGTGTGCAGTCTGAATGAATGAGTCACCCTCTACTCAAAGAAACACCACAGAGCTATGTGATACAAGGGCTAATTTTAAGCAGATCTGTTGCCTGAGAGTTGAGTTTGTTTGACTAAAACCACACTCTTCATACTTCTCCATGAAGCTGAAATGTTATATGAGAGATTTTAGATTGTTTTAAACCCTTAATTACTGCACACTGACTCAAAATCTAAATGACTTCCTTATTCTTCGATTGGTCGGTTCAGTTTTAGCTTTGATAAAAACGTCTCTGACTCAGGAGATTTTCAGCTGCTTCATATAAATTAAACACAGAAACTTAAACATTTTTTCGCACTGTGGTTCCCAAATGTTTTCCTCAAGTGACCCCTTTTCTGCAACTGAGTAAACTGTCAACCCCTGATTAAAGTGACATATTTTATGGATATTTCACATTATATTCAATGCATAACAATACCATTACAGAACAACTAATAAACTGTACAATGAACTCAAACAGGGAACAAAATAACTGCAGAAGATTTGTGTAAAACAAGTGATTCGGATGAATTTTGAGATTTCCTGTAAATGTTGCGTCAGAGATGAGTTTTCCTGATATTTTTAGATAACTTTATACAATCTATATTATGTATTTTGTCTTATTTTGTAATCATACTAAATTCACTGACACATGGCCATTGTTCAGTCCAAGTTTCTGTAAAAACATCTTTAGTTCAGGACTTTAAAGTTTATATCTTAAATTATAATCCTAACTTTAAAAAAAAAAAGAAATCATTTAGTTTTCTTCATAGAAAAATAATAAAATGTTGAGGTATAGTCTAAGTTTCCTTCAAATCTACAAGGCCTCTGTGATGCTTTGGCAACCCGTAGTGGGGGTCCCGACCCGCAGGTTGGGATCCACTGCTCTAGTAGTAAAGGGTTCTCAAACCTTTCAATAGTTACACATTAGACCACAGACCCCCAGTTTGAGAGGATTTTGTCATAAGGAATTCCTTCTGAGAATCTTTTTCAAGTTTTAAGTTTTGAAGATTAAGTCTCAATCAATAATCAAACTGGGATCACTACAAATAAAAGTTAAAACATTCTATTCCTACTTTTACTGGGGACCCCCTACAACCCACTCAAGGTCACATGTTGGTCCCCTGACCTCAGTTTGAAAACTAGCAGCAGTAATGAATTGCTGGTTGCAAACATAAGCTTATATGACTCATTTTTAACCTGGTGGCCTGATGGTGAGCAAAGAACAAGGTCAGGCTGAATTTGGGGGAAATGTCTATAAAAGAACATCTAAAATACGTATTTACATTTGATGGCAAACAGCAACTAAACTACATCTGGATTTCTTTGCAACCTGAAAGCTTCTTAACAGGAAGTAAAAGGGGGAAAACTGGATGCTAATGGCTTATAAAAGGTTTTTGGATACTCGAAGGACTTCATTTGTTTTTTTTCTAACAACACAATTACCAGTATTAGTTTTTGGATATGTTGGACCCTGCTGTTGTGAGGGTGCATCAGTGGATCCCAAACATTTTGGTTTGTGAGCCCTTAAAATAAGGCAATATGTGTGCAAGATGACACGAGAGAGAGTTTTCTTTTGAGGGCATTTTATACATTTATTGAGAGTAAGCAGAAAGGAAATGAGGATAGAGGCAGATGGGGAATGAGGTCTAACTTAAACCTGTGACATTGTGATTGATGACACACTGCCTTAGATTATATAAACTGTACTGTGCAATTATCTGGCTCTATTTCTTATATTTATAGCTTATATTTCCTCCGAATTACACATAATTTTGTCCTGTGCAATTAGATATAGTTTTACACTGTGTCTCTACCTCCTGCTCTAATAGCTGTGTAAATTTCATCCATCTTTAAAAGCAATATTCTTTAATATATATATATATATTTATTATAATGCTACACATTATGTGTACACACAATTTTCTCTATTCCATCAGACATAAAAAGGTTTTTACCTTTATTTAATGTGTGTTTTCTTATTTGTGTTTTCTTTAACTGCTGTAACAAGCAGTACAACCCTATTATATAATCTATTAAGTCTTTTTTATCTTATATTGTTAAGATTTTAAAGGTGTATTAAGTAGGACTGTAAGAAAATACTGAAAAATATCATATTGGGGTATTTTATTTTATATTTTATTTTGTGATATTGTCTCAATTCTTCAAACACACTGTATTGATTTTTGTGTTTAAACACCCAACCTCTAGACAAGGACTGTGATAAATGCAGATCCTACTGTTCTGGTTGCATAAGAAAGTAAACTTTTTGTGTGTGTGTGTATATATATATATATATATTTAAATCACAATAAATCACCTTGGTTACAGTATCACAACATATTGAATCCTAACCCCTGTACTGTGCTACATATTGTATTGTATTTATTTCACATTATATTAAACTCTCAATATATTCTTGATTTTTATTAATTAATACCTTTAAAGCTATTTAAGTGCATTTGTTCAGCTCTGCAGTGACTCTGCGTGTAATGAAAAATCTCACTGTCACCAAATGAAAAACACAATTAGAACCCGGATGTTAATTAAAAACCTTAATCTGTGAATTTGATAAAACATTTAAAGAGGTGAGAAAACGTGTTGATCTCAGTCGCTGTTGGGTTATTTGCTGTATTTCCTGCAGAGGACATGCTGCACCATCGCCTCCACACTCTGAGTCTGATTGAGAGACTGACACCGGCCGCAGAAAGACAACATTATCCTCTATAAACTGTCTCCAACGCCAATCTGTCTGATGATTTTGAAGACACACACTACAAAAATCGGTCCTGTCTCTTCCAACATGACATAAAACTGAATTACGAGAAGCGTGTGAGCGCTGCGCGTCGGTTTGTGGCTCGACAGGAACCGTTTTTGTCATGTGGTTTGTGGGAAAACCCGTATTGGATCGCTGTGGTCACCTGGGCAAAAGGACCTGAAAAAAAGTGCCGTTGAGTAGCAGATTGTCAATAATACTGTACAGATGGATAAAACAGCTTCGGGAAAATATCTACAGCAATGTCACAAAGGCGCAAGAGAAACAATCCATGTGTGCGCAAACATTAAAGCTTATAAACCGAGAATAATCCGTTTGTGTCCATTCAACTCTTTGCGCCAGAGGAGTCACGTGAATACTGGGTTGCAATGTCTGAAAATTGTTACAAAAACAAAACGACATTACAGTTAAAAGCAACAACAACAACAACAACAACAAAAGAGGCTGTTTTCATGAAGTAACACACCTCACTAACTAGTCCACTCCACATCTTATTGAGCGCATGTCGCCGCCGCAGCTTTGCGCGGATAAACAGCGGCCGTGCGCAGCAGAGCAACAAAAAGGAAACCAAGGACAAAAAAACATATCCAACGACCTTAAAAAGGAAATAAACCTCCTATCTGCGCATCAAGTGGTTATGATTAAAGAGTTTAACGAGTAAAAACCCCCAACACCGGAGCACCGTCGCCTCCGTGAAGCTGCGTAAAAACCCGGACTGTTTTCTGTTTGGTTTTGTTTTTTTTGGTTTTCCGCACAGACGCAGACGGCTCCGTCCTGCTCGGCAGCGGCCTCCATTTTAGCTCCTTGCCCGGTCGGTGCCTCACGTGTCCTGGACTGTCTTCCTCACATGACCCGTGTGTTTGTCCCCGTGATCAGCGCTTCCATCTCCGTAAATCAGTGTCGTTGAATATCGGCGTTTTACACCCGCAAAAGCTTCATGGATATGCTGGAGCAGAGTCTGGACAGCTCGGCGAGGTGAGAGGCTGCTGTCCGCTTCCTGCTCAGCCATGGCTCCGACCGAGGGCCTGAAACCCGATTTCTCCTCGCAACGCAATGCTGTTAATAACCCGCACGCTGCTCATACTTTTAATATTCGTACATTGTGTGGTTTTGTTGTTTTTCTTTAACTCCCTGTGGTTGGATGAGTGGCAGTGCAGCCTGCGCGGATGATGAGTTTCTGCATCCATTAAGACATTTTCAGTAGAATTTGTGCGCCCTTTTTTTTGTAAATGTGTAACATCACGATTGCTGTTTTATTTACTTGCCAAGAGAGGCAAACGCACAGCAGCGGGTTGTGACTATTTTTCGGGGATGCATTTAATTGCACTGTGCTCTTGTTGTACCTGATGCGGCTCTTTTAAGGTTTAAATGCTTAAATCTAACTAGGAGGGGCGGTGTTAGGAGTATTATAGTTATTTGTGAAGTTTGTCTCGCCCTGTGCAGCTAATCAAACCACTCAAACTAAAGTTTTAATTCTCAAGAAATTGTGATTTCCCTCCTGGAAGTTGCAGAAAACATGATTTCTGTCTCGTTTGCACGCCAGTTATCTCTCACTTTTATTTATATCTTATTTATAGCCCCCTCATGCGACCACTTGGGGGCGCCCCTCACCCACAACTGCCTATAAGAGCTCGCTCAATATATTGATGATAAATAATGATCTTATTTCTGAGAAATGTGCATGTTGGGTTCAGCTTGAAATTGACTTTTTTTTTTTTTGGTTTTCAGTCACGACAAACAGGAAACAGAAGAAGTGGTGCAGTTACAGGAAGGTGGGAGCCTCATTTCTTATAATCCTGACAAGTGAAGCAAATAATCTACTTCTTTTCTAAAAGGAGAATCTGTGATGCAAAGTCAGGTTTTGCTTTCTTTACGACGCATTTTAAGAGTTGATTTTGAACAAACGTACTTTGTGTGTCTGCTTCAGAGATGCATCCACTCATATCTCGTTTTTCCGGTGCAGAGTCACAGATTTGAAACATGTTGACCTGTGTGTGTGTGTGTTTGTGTGTGTGTTGCAGGAGAGACGGTGGGGACGGAGGAGCAGACTGCAGTGACCATCACTGGTGTCCCGCAGGCTGCGTTCACTGACCACAATGTTCAGTACCAGTTCCGCACAGAGAACAGCGGAGGACAGGTGAGCACGGAGAACCTCACTTCTGCACAGCAAGTGTGTTTGTCATGGTAGCTAAGCACATCCAGGAAGTTTAGTTTAGATAAAGATCTATTTTTTGAGACAGGACTGCAAAATGCACAGTTCAGGCACATTAAGCAGTTATCACACACACACTGATAGTATTCAAAGATATCACTTAGTAGAAACTTCAAAGGAAGGAACAGAAAATATATTTTATGGAGATACGTGTATGCTAATTTCTTCCTCCTGCTAAATGCACTTATTATTAAGTATTTAAAATGTGTTCAGTGTTTTGTTTCTGATGGCAAAACAAGATCCTTTACTGCTGCAAAATGCAAATTAAATTGTCTCGTTTATAAAGTGAGTGTACATTCTGTCAGAAGGAGATGGGCTCTACAAACTGCCTCTACTGTGAGGGTAAACAATGAAAGCCTGTTAACCCTAAATGCATTTATTTAGTTTCATTTATAAAGTTTTTAAAGTGTGTACATTGTTTTTACTTAAAAAGACTTTTCCTCAATGCATGAATGTTCGCTCATAGATTGAGCTATGATTGAGCTAAGATTTTTTTTTTTACTGAGAAAAAAACCCTAAATGCCTTTATTTTGATTCATTTGTAAGGTATTTTACATGTATAGAAATATGACGTGATGCAGAAATAGCAGTAAAAATGGACAGAAATGTTGGTTTATGAATTGGGTGGCCATGGTCTGTCATTTCTGAGAAGTGGGTCCCCCCCCAAAAAAGGGGAAACACTGGTTTAAACCATCCCTTACACTTTAACTCTTGTGTGTTTTGAAAGGCTAGAAAGGAGAAATGCTCAGTATTGCTTTTACCACAGCAAAGCCGTGTCTAGTTATCAATACTGAGCTAAGATGGGACTATTGCTGTTCGGTAGAAGGGTTCAACTAACGGCTAATTTAAATCCAGCGTGCTGTTGGATGAAGGCTAATGTGTTAGGATGACACAGAGGTTATAAACTGCACATTATTCTTAGATGTGTTCGCAGCAGGTTATTTTGTGGTGGTTGATTTGAATTCTGGAAATAACCACAAACCCAAAGTGTTGTAGGGAAACAGATGAGACAGATGTTCACACCTGATAACGGTTACTGGTACTCGAGAAGCTTAGGAAAACAAAATGAGCACTACCTGGTGTAAAGGTTAGGTGAAACAGACAGAGGGTGATTGTGGTGTGAAGGTAAATGTCAAGAACTGTGTCCTGAGGTGAAGTTGGCTGTTTTTGTCCTGGTTTCACTTCACACAAAAACATATAAAACGTCTAAAGATCACCGAGATCACACCTCTGTTTCAGTTTTCTTTTAAACTATTGCTTTAGTTTTTTTAAACTTAACTCTTTGCTCTGTCCTCAGGTGACCTATCGTGTGGTTCAGGTAACAGACGATCAGTTAGAAGCAACAGCTGATGGGACTGGAGCCGTCAGCGTCGTCTCTACCGCAGCGTTTGCTGGAGCCCCTCAGGCGGTGGCACAGGTGAGTAACACACACAGTAGGGATGTCCCGATCCGATCTCAGTAATCAGTATCGGCACCGATCAAGGCGATCAAAGCTTTACTCATTTGATCCTATCTTTTGTTTTACGTCAGCTGTCACACAGCAGTCATTACTCACAGAGCTTTCATGCACGGTGCAGCCATCATCAACGGTCTCTACTGTCTGCCTCTCCACTCTGAGCTCTGTGTGAGAGAGCAGAGACAGCGATAGAGAGCTGTTCAAGAAAAAAGCCCTGCAAACAAATTAATTAATGTAGTCCATGCAATATGCAATGTGGAGAGGACGGAAATAAACACAGAATACAGACGGTTCATTCAGGTCAAGACTGCACCAAACACTGGAGAGAGAGACTCCCTCCAGACAGCGAGCAGACCAGAAACATAACAGAGGGTTTGTTATTTTATACTTTATAGTCTTAACAGCTTGGATGCATGCATTTTCTTTCTTGATGCAATGCAGAGCTATTCAGTTGTCAAGCATACATTGGACTGACTTTAATGGACTTTAGGTGTGCAATGTGCACTGTATTATCTAAAGAAAGTATCAGATCGGCAGATAATCAATATTAGATGACTCAGATTGGGACTTCCCTAACACGCACATTCTTACTGTATACTATATTAGTTGTTTACCGGTTGAACAGCTTGTCCCTGACTCTCCCTTCTTCCAGGCTGTCATACAGAACCCGTTCAGCAATGGGGGCAGTCCTGGCGGGGAGACTGTGGGAGGAGAGACGCGTTTTGCTTATTTCCCCGCCGCCACCGTCAGCGATGGAACAGCCGTGTCGGTGCAGGCCACCACCGACCCAACGATCACGCAGGCAGGAGGTGAGAAAACAGCATTCGCTCTGCTGTAAGATCATCTGGGGGGAGAAAAGTGACACTTTGTCTTCTAAAATGAGGAACAGGACAGCATTCAAATATCGTATCGCGATATTTTATTTTGTTGTATTCTCTAAAACACTATTGATTTTTGTGATTAAACTCCTAACAGCTAGATAGCTGATGTTGTTCTATGTTACAGGGACTTTTTGCTCAGATTTTATGCATGGTGTGGACAGTTTTCCAACATATCATATCATGCTCACAAAATTGCAGTATGTCACAATATATTGTATATATTTATAATGCATTGAATCGTAACGCCAGACTGGTAAAGCGGATCAGAGAGTCCCTGGTACCCCCCATAGTATGGACAAACAGTTTATTTTTCTCTTTCTCCATACACGTATTATTAACATTTCCAGTTTGTTCATTATGGCTATAATATTATTTATTATTATATAAATTATTATCACAAGCTAACAATACAAATGTGTCATAACAAATTCCCTCCGAAACACCCATTTTACCTGCAGTAACTGCATTACGTCACAGTCCTTATTACATTTATTATGACTTTTCATCATCTTCTTTTCTTGTCTTTGTGTATTTTATTCCTGTTTATCAATGTTGTATTTGTAAAGTCACTACTGTTTATTTTTTCGGCGGTGAGTCCATTTTCCATATTTTATTCTTCCACCATTTGCCTCCTAAACTCCAGGTCAGTTTTATGTGATGATGAGCCCCCCTGAGGTACTACAGACGGCGGCTCCTCGCACCATCGCACCACGCACGCACACCTACACTGCGTGAGTATGATTAAACACTTCCCCACACATCCATCCCATCCCTGAAGTTACCAAATCAACATATCTCTCTCTCCCCCCCCCCACGTGTTTGGCCGACTTCTCACCTCCACATTTTCTCACCCCTTTCCCTGTAACTTCACAGTGGATC